CCCCCCCCCCGCCTTTAAATCAAGAGACTTGTGTTTGTGGCCACCCCTCAGCGCTGGGACGCCGCCCTCTGTCCTGCAGTGCCCTGATTGGAGGTCAAAGCCTTAACACTGTTTGCAGCCTTGCCTGACCCCAGAGGGAGAAGGACCAGCACGGAGCCACTGTACTTAGTGGAGAATGGGGGCAACAACCTGACTCCTGCAGTTGGGGGTCTTGCATGTACTACACCTTAAAGATCCTTAACAGGAGACATGGAGCTTGACCCGCCCTCTGTCCTGCAGTGCCCTGATTGGAGGTCAAAGCCTTAACACTGTTTGCAGCCTTGCCTGACCCCAGAGGGAGAAGGACCAGCACGGAGCCACTGTACTTAGTGGAGAATGGGGGCAACAACCTGACTCCTGCAGTTGGGGGTCTTGCATGTACTACACCTTAAAGATCCTTAACAGGAGACATGGAGCTTGACAAGCTCATTTAGTATCTGGCTCAGAGCCACCTGCAGCAGCAGGGGTCACAACTCCAGCAATAATAAAAATTGGTGCAACATCTAGGGGCCCAACAGTAGCAACTGCTCTGGGAGTTGAGGGCCCAACATCATGAGCAGCCACATTGGTGTCTTCAACAGCTCATGACTGCAGCCTGGCCCCACCAGGCCAGCTCCTGGAGGTGTGATGAATTCCCCTGCTTCCTCATTTCCAGTACAGATTTCCAAAATGGGACTGAGGATGACCCAGAAGCATTTCTTGTAACATTTGAGTAGGTCACGGTGGTTGCCAGATGGCTCCCAGAACATCAGGACACCTTGACCCCCAGCATGATTGGGGCAGCTTAGACTGCCTATCACAAACTCAGAATCAATGAGGCATGAGATTATGGATGTGTGAAGGTGGCCATTTTAGATGCTTTGGACATCATGCTGGAAACTTTCTGCTAGCAATTTCGGTCTAAGACCTAGCCACCAGGGTGATAGGTTGTAGCCCAGGAGATAAAAAAAACTGGTGATGGCTGCACCTTGAGCAATGGCCGGTGAGATTGCTGAACAGATCATCATAGAGCAGTTCACCATGTCCTCCCACTCTGGGGAAGGGCTTGGGTACTTCAGCACTAACCCACAACACTTAGTGAGACCATCAACTTAATGGTGGACTTTTTGGCCACTGAGACCCCTGTTGGGCCAGAAGCCCACGCCCCAGCCTTAACACTTGGTTCAATGCAAGGAAGCCCAGTCCCAAGGCCAAATAATGCCCTAGAGTCCAAACCCATGATGCCAGGGCCACTTAGCCTGATTGGTCGTAGGATTCTGCTTTCCTGCAGCCTGTTTTGATACTTAACACAAGAATGTCCTGAGATGGACTGGCTTTGGCCGAGTCTATTCCCAAGAGTCTCATGCCCACAGACCGCCCACCCTGAAGCTAACAACCACCATAAAAGTTGCGTGAAAATGAGTCATGGCCCTCATAGACTTGGGCTGCAAGCAAACCCTTGTCCGTCAGAAATTTGCCCTGATCCACACAAATGGATGGAGATAGATGGCTCCAATGTATGCATGAGGATGTACAGGCACACCACAGCACTTGGATCTCTGTGACCATAAAAGGGCTGATGTGGGTTATGACAGTGGGTCTGGCCCTCACAATTGTCTTGCATGAGACTGGCTGGGGTTTGCCAGCCTGCTTTGGACCACTGGTCTTGGGACATTTCCTACCCAGGTAGCCCTGGAGGGAGACCCCATGGCAGAAATATATAAGAAGGCTGAAGAACCCCAAGGGAGGACCTCCCTGATGAACCCACAGTCCCAACGCCAACTCCAGGCCTCCTGCAGGAGGGTCCTGAGATGACAAACCCCTCCCCTAAGAGGTGAACGTGGGGCTGTGTGGCATAATAGTAAGAACCATCGGCTAGTACTCGTCCATACATGGCTGACCTTTAAAGTGCTGCATTAGCACCACTTTAATGTTGCTGTCTCCTTTTGCGCACCCACCCTTCCCCCCTTCTGCACCACAGAAAAGAATCAGATCTACCACATAAACCTCATGAAACCTAGGCATACATGTGAGGGACTACTGGTTGCCTCATATCCTCTTGAGCCAGTCCTAAGTTCCTGATTCAGTTGAGACTGAGGAGCTACAAGTGGCAACACAGATTGGCTGAACAACAGATACAATCTCGGTGCCTGCTGAAAACCTGCACAACTTTCAAGATGCTCCAGGTCAGACCATGCTCATGCAGCACACTATCCAGCTGGCCCCTGTGCCCTTCCTCCCCTGTGCAGGAGGTTGTCAAGAAAGTGATCCAAGCAATGGTGGAGTTGGGGTTCATAGAGTGGTCACAGAGCAGATGATATAGTCTCATCATGTTGGTCCCAAAGCCTGATGGGAGCCTCCAGTTCTGTTCAGACCTTCCAGAAGGTAAATACAGTTTCAAAGTTTGATACTTATCCAGTGCCTGCCTTGGATCAATGAGTTCCTCAGGTACATCACAACACTAAATCTCACGAAAGGGTACTGGCATATCTTCTTGGAGCTGAGTTCCAGGGAGCAGACAGCATTCATCACTCCAACCAAGTTGCATCACTTCACAAGGATACCCCTCAGTCTCCATGGAACTCTGGCAATCTTTCACCTGATGGACCACTTTCTAAGTCCCTATGTGCAGTATGCTGCAGCCTACTGAGGCAATGTAGTGATCTATAGCCACCCCTGAGAAGATCATTTAAACCTGGTGGCTGCCTTCCTTCAAACCCTGCATGATGCTGGGTTCACTGCTGTCAGGGCTGTCTCCCACCCTAAAACTCTGAGTGCAGAAGGTGGGATCCTGCAAAGACCTTAAATACCTTGCCTCTGTAGGTTCTCCTTACAAAAACTCCCCCAGAGTCACAGATTTACTGACTTTTTTGAGGGGGGGGTAATTGCCACAACCAAGTGAAACAAAAGGAAAACCCTGTTCTTCTTGAACTCAGGAAGAAAGCACTTGGACTTCTTCCAGAGGGGTTACCCCCAAGCTCCTTTACCACAAGAGAGCTTGAAAACAAAGAGAAAACAACTGCAGTCTCTGGTAGCTGACCTCTTAGTCTGAAGCATGCATACACACACATGGACCCCTGTTACTTTCCAGGACACAAGAATCAACTAATCATCTTTAAAAAGTTCTCTTTATTAACAAAACAAAAGATACACTTGATAAAGCATACTTGATTGCTAGGTGTTACAAAACAACTAAATAAAACAAATTAAAATGCTTCGAAAATCTCTGGGAACAAATCTTAGATAGAGCAAATCTTAGAATGGGGAAGGGAAGACATGGATTCACACAGAGAAGTTTAAACCAAACAACCAAAATAAAGAAAAATACCCTGATCATGACTAGATACACTTTTTCCCTTTATTTACTAATGATTCCTTCCTGGTTTAATCCACTTCTATACTTGAAATTCCTTGGAGGTATGGTAGTACTGCCTGGGTTTAAGTAATTCTGTGTCTCTCAACTCCTGGCTTAACTTCTCCACACAAATAAGGCAGGCAAGGTATCTTATACAATTCAAATTTCAGCACTGTATTTCCATTGGTTCTTCTGGTTCCCTGCCAACACCCTTCTTAGCTACCTGAGTTTAATCCCTTAGTCACCGGGTGCTGGCCAGCACTCCCCCTATCCATCACAATTGCCAACACCAAAAAAGTGCCCAGTTGGGTGATAGGGGACTATGCACCTGGGATTACACACTGTGACAAAGCCTCATGTGCCCCCTCCTAGGAAAGGTCCAGGCTCTATAGGCCTGCCTGGTGCCTACTATGAAGCGACAGGTGTGACGGTTTCTGGGCTTAGTTGGGTATTACCAACACTTTGTGCCCTAGTTTGCACTCCCAGAGACTCCCACTATTTGCAGCTCTGCCTAGATTACAGGAGGAGTCATCTGTTCTGTGCCATGCTAATTCTCTGACTGTGGGCAAGACCAACACTGTAGTGGCTGCATCTAGACTGGCAAGTTTTTCCACAAAAGCAGCTGCTTTTGTGGAAAAACTTGCCAGTCTAGATGCAGCCACTACAGTGTTGGTCTTGCCCACAGTCAGAGAATTAGCATGGCACAGAACAGATGACTCCTCCTGTAATCTAGGCAGAGCTGCAAATAGTGGGAGTCTCTGGGAGTGCAAACTAGGGCACAAAGTGTTGGTAATACCCAACTAAGCCCAGAAACCGTCACACCTGTCGCTTCATAGTAGGCACCAGGCAGGCCTATAGAGCCTGGACCTTTCCTAGGAGGGGGCACATGAGGCTTTGTCACAGTGTGTAATCCCAGGTGCATAGTCCCCTATCACCCAACTGGGCACTTTTTTGGTGTTGGCAATTGTGATGGATAGGGGGAGTGCTGGCCAGCACCCGGTGACTAAGGGATTAAACTCAGGTAGCTAAGAAGGGTGTTGGCAGGGAACCAGAAGAACCAATGGAAATACAGTGCTGAAATTTGAATTGTATAAGATACCTTGCCTGCCTTATTTGTGTGGAGAAGTTAAGCCAGGAGTTGAGAGACACAGAATTACTTAAACCCAGGCAGTACTACCGGCTGAGTTTGGAAGCAGAGAGAGCAGGGGACACTGCCCCCCTAGTCTTTTAAAAGAAGAATGAACAGTTC